TGCAGTGGGAGATTATGGCTCCTCTAACTAGTGATGGCTACTGTGTGCTAACACTTCACAATAAGTACCTGGCATGCATATTTAGAAGTAGGACTATGTATATTCTATATATACCCGCGGTTGAAAGACATTTATGTGTTGGTGACTGCCATCGGATTACTCATCTACTATATATGTTTATTATGCAGGTAACTTTGTTACTGGATGATTTCCCGTTTCATTTTCATGAATATATTATACGGGTAATACAGGTACCCAAAGTACCCAAACGGGTATTAGCGGGTAACCCGCGGGTACCCAATGTTGTGATTCTTAATCCCAAGTCCCATCCCACAATAAATATAACGGGTATTTGAGTACCCGTAACCCTCAAAAAACGGGACGGATTTGGGTATACCCAAATACCCGTTTCCCGTTGTCCACCCCTAACAAGTAACAACAGGTAGTAATACTCACTCCAAACATCTATAAGATATATGATGGAGATTCATGACTCAACTTTCTTCCATTTCAAATTTTCTGCAACGAGAGTGAAAGTAGGAAGGGTACTTTCGTCATTGCAATTGTTTATTTTTTTATTTGAAAAAAATATCAGTGTCAAGATTTGAACCCGGGTCTCTTCTAACAAGGACAAGAGTCATAACCAATAAGAATAAACAAATTTGTTGCATTTATTTATAAAAAAAAAAACATACAAGAGGCAAAATTCTGAAAATCAAATGACTTTTCCAGCACAGTTAGCTACCCCACTAAGTCTTTCTTAAGCATTTTTAGTGTTGGATCTTTGATTATCATTTATTATTATTTTATTTTGACTTCAATAATAATGGTAGTCTATCTTATAAATGGAGGATAATCTTAAAACGCAATCCAAATATCATTTATTCGAATATTGCATATCAAATTACAATATTAAATATATATGTGCACACACAACCACATATATATGGGTCAGACTGGTGTACTCCTGGAGTATATTATACTTCAGGTACTCTTCGTGAGATATCTCTATCTAGACCATGATTTTTAACCGAGTTTGGGGTATGATACTCTACCCTAACCTCTAATGGATAAACCCCAGGCCCCGATTCTCTAAACTCAAACCCAAAGTTTAATTTAATGGAAAATTATAATTGACCATTGAGATTGATTGGAGCTCAACAAAGTACATCTAATGTCTAGATCATGTGGAGTATACTATACTCTTGGAGTATACCAGTATACTATACTCCTGTAGTATACCAGTATGTGTGTGTGTAGTGTTTTCTATCATATTTTGAGTAAAATCAAAAGGTAACTCATACCCTTGGTAAGAAATGGCAATCTAGACTTTGAATTAACCTGATTTCGAGACGAGACACTATATTCTAACCCTTGACGAGTGAACTCTAGGTCTTAACTATTTAAATCATAGATCCTAAATCAAGGATTATAAAACCTCATCAGAGGTTGTACCGAAAAAGTCGGCAGGAGGGTATTTTATGCGAAAACTGTGGTTAACCGTGATTCAGTCGTTTCACAACACTACATAGTGCCTACTGGTTTAGTCGAACCCCCGGTACGTTAAGGGTTTTCAATCCTTGCCCTAAACACTAAGATTATGCACATAATTTTTTTGATGTATTTTGATGAAACACGACCTTCGATTATTGTTTCTAATAAAATTGATCTTAGTATATGAGCTTCATAGAATTAAGACCTAGATTTTAATCTGTAAGGGCTTAAGGTATAGTACCATGTCCCTAGCTCCGGCCACTAGACATCATTTTCATACTCAGAGTATATCATTCAAGGTCTATATATCATTTCCTTATGTCATTTTCTTAATCAAAATATGATAGAACCACCCATACTTATAGTTGTGTTATCCTGCTGGAAAGTCATTTGTTCTAAATGTTAGTTGGTTGGACTGCAGTTTTATCAGGGTTGTATGTTGTTTGAAACATTTTGAACTTCATTAGTCCAATATTTTTAGTACTCCTATATTATTTAGGGATAATATCCTATTTTGTGTTGAACTTTGATGTAAATAACAATTTTGGCATGAACATTCAAATAAGATAGTTTTGTCCGAATTTGAAAGAAATTAACAAATTTGACCCGAAATTTGGGTCGGTTATTAATATTGAGGGTCAAACATTTCTTTTTTTTATGACTCAACATACAATGTTAAGGTGACTGTGGTGTGACTTTCACGTCATAGGTATAATATGCTATTTTGCCATACACTTTCAAATAAGACAGTTTTGTACGAATTTTCAAAGAAATGAATAACTTTGACCCAAAATTTAGGTTGCCGTTAATATTGATGAGAGGGGTACAAAGAGAGATAGTTTCGTGCTTTGGGATTTTTGGGGGCCTGAATCAATTTCTTTTTCCTTTTAATATGATTTATGCAAGTAAATATGAAAATATTAGGATATACTAAGGGTCCTATTTTGTGGTCTTTTTTTCTTCTGAAAAATTCACTTTTTTAGACTTTATAAATAAATGACTTGGAAGCCACATCGCAACCGAAACCTCTCTATCACAACTGTCAATATTAAAGGTCAACCCAAATTTCGGACCAAATTTGTTCATTTCTTTCAAAGTGCAAACAAACCTATCTTATTTGAAAATTTGAGCCAAAATTGTCTTTTACATCAAGTTCATGCCAAAATAAGGTATCATCCCTATGACATGGAAGCCACATCGCAATCGCAATCACCTGAGCATTGTATGTTGAATGGATGAAGAAATTTTTAACTTTTAATATTAACGAACAACATAAATTTCAGTCCAAATTTGTCCATTTCTTTCAAAATTTTGAAAAACTGTCTTATTTGCAAGTTCATGTCAAGTTTGGCTTTTACGACAAACTTCAAGGTCAAAATAAGGTATATCCCTATTATTTATGGTCAACTTACCAATCAAAGTAGTCAGTGAAAGTATCAGCAACACTGACAAAGACAAACATTTGTAATTCAAAATTAGTTGCACTCAGCCTTAAGTTTGAAGCTCTCTTGAGAACCCGGACTATTTTCTAGGCATCTTCGGGGACTACGACTAGCATGCTTCCAAACCAGCTGATCCTTATTCTACTTTCTATGAAGAGGAATAATATGGGTGTATCTGTTAGACATTAATTAGGGTTACAAATGATCTCATTCCTAAAATCTGTTAGAGACCAATCTTTTTCTTTCCTTCTGAGGGTTCATTATGTATGTTTTAGGAAAAACAACTCTAATCTTGAACTATTTGCCATTTTTAAGTATTGAAAATCTATTATTTTGTATGTTTTTCTTTTCTTCTTTGAACAATTATATTTCTTTTTTCAGTGATATGTCGTATCTTCCTATTATATTGTAAGCATGTTATATGAACATATTTTTTGTCTAAACTTTCCCGGCCAAGGGGCCGGGCCCGGTGCTAGTATCTGAATATATAAATAAAAAAAATTGCCAATGCCGCTAATAATAAGTTTGTGTAATGAGCCCATTAACATGTTCAGCCCATAACTCTATGGGCCCTGAACAAGATCCACCATGGAGCTTGCACCTCAGAACCAGACGAAACATGCACTGTATCTGTTCGGATTCGCAGACCCTTATCACCGCGTGAGTCAGTTTGATGTTTTGGATTGAGTCGAACTCGAAACTGGGAACCCAACACTAAAGTTGATAAGTTTTGGATTGAGCCATCATCGTTGATAAGTTTTCATGCAACAACAAAAGAAAATTTTGTCTCTTATTCAATTTTCACGCGCACAGAATTGTCGTATTGGTACTACCGTACATAGTACACTAATATGTACTTATGCAAACATGACACAAATTTTAGAAACTTGAGTGGTACAGAACATTCATTCACCTACAGTTCTATTTCAAGGTCGGATCGGAATTCATTAGTGACATTAATATTTTTCCCGAGAATTCTAAATTGTAAAATCGGGAAATCAGGAGCGGTCTTCATGACCAATCATCTCTCAGGTGTAATTGGTGTGGATTGGACTGTTTACTTGAAATGTGCAATTTCGAATTTTCGATACCGCTTCAGAGGAAGACTTAGACGCTCAGTGACTAACTCACACACCAGGCATTATGTATGCCAAGAGCGACTCTCCATATATAGAAGTTGATTGTCTTGTCTGTTTGCTGCCGTCTAGATATTTAGTTGGTTCGTATGAATATTGTCTTATCTCCTTCCTCCCCTTCTATCTTCATAACGAATCATGTTTTCAAATTTCTCCAGGCAATTCCTGCATTTACGCATCTGTTCGACATGTTCCCTTGAGGCCCAAGTAATATGTAAAATGACATCGAATTCATCTTTTTCGATCCATCTCTCGCCGAATTGAAAGGGTGGCAAACAGAGACAGAAAAAATGGAAACTTCCCCAACATGATGAGAACAATATGACATGATAAAGAAGTCATATTATTTTAGAAAAAGAGGCGCTCACATAATGACAACTATGTTAGAGATAAAATACGATATTACAATAATCAAATTGAAAGTAATTTGATTAATGTTTTACAAACACTGACAAAAATGATATGGGTTAACAAAACACAAATCATCGTTCCGAGTCCGATACTCTCCCTTCACCACCCACAGAAAATAGATTGACTCAAATAGAATAATACGAATAAATTCGAAAGAGTTATTCTTAAACCTTACTCATTAGATAAATTTTTTTCTTGCATATTACCAATCATGTATGAGGAACCCCATCTATATTTGGAGGGCAAGTAATTTCAGACTTCACATGCAGATATGATGATCCCCAAATTAGGCACAATAGTATCATTCATGAAACCTAGCTTATTCTAGCAAGGAGAGCAACCTCAAAATTATATCATTGTTCTTGAAACTGATGAACAGGAGAAACTAGTTGTTTATCATATGATATGATGCATGCACCTTATCTTTTTGTTTGGATTCTCAGACCTTTTTTCCCAGCATGTGAATTTTAGCCTGACCTTTTGGATTGAGTAGAAAGTGGCAACCCCACAGCAAAAGTTGAAAAGCCACCAATATTTCATATTTCCACAAAAGAAAATTTGTCTTCATACTCAATTCAATATTCTCCACATATATATAATAACTGCCACATTTTGGTACCGTACATAGTATAGTAGATATTTATTTTATGCTAACATCGCACAAATTTCAGAAACTTGGGTGGTACGTAACTGAAAAGGGACATTCATCCATCCTTTCCTATATAGCTAGCTACTCTTGCAAAACCAGTACTTTTTAACTTACAACAATAATTACACATTGTACTAATACACAAAAAAAAACCTAGAAGAACCCACAGCTCTGTTCGGAATCAAACCTGAATCCATCGTCGAAATCGATATCGTTGACCGAAAAATCCATATCCAAAATCGCTGAATCAGAAGCGACATTACGGCCACGAAAATCGTAATTACCATAATCGTACCCGTAGTTGCTAACCGCCTCCTCAGCTTCCAGATCGAACGACACGAAATCCTGCCACATGTTCATGTTCCCATCATTCCCAATCATCACCTCATTGTTATCAACCGTCACCCCGCTCTTGCTCTCTTCATTGTTATTAGAAACCTCTTGCTTCACACTCGGCGTTACCGCCGCCGCGGTGGCCCTAGCATCCACGAACGGTGGAAGAACTGCCGCCGCCGCCGCCAGGGCATTTTTACAAGTGTGGTGGCCGAGGTAAGTTATGGAGTACATCTCGTCTTCCTGTTCGAGCCGCTGCACTTGCTTCGTCGCTTTGCAACCTTGCTCGTGCTTGTGAGTGCATCTAAAGTAGCTCCTGTAAACATCCAAAACCAACTTAATTATCAGCACATGTACAGTACTATTGATTTATTAGCCGCTTTTGAAGAAGTGATGAGTTCACTCGAATCTGATTAATTATATACCTAGGGAATTTGGCATGGAGAATCTCCTTCTGTCCGTACTTCCTCCAACCATGGCCGTCTTGTGAAAAGGACGGCGAGATTATTACGCTGGAGTGGCCAGTCTTCCTGTGTAATGGACATGACATAAAGCAATTCGATCAATCATTGTGACAAAGTCGGATAAGACCGTGTCCATCCATGTGTGGTGGTGGTAACAATTGTCAAGAACAAGTCCGACTATACGTTTAACAAATTGGATTACCAGGATTCGAACAAAATACTTTGTAAAAAGTTATAATGCAAAAAATGATCAATTAGTTTTTGATAACTCTAATATTAAGTTAATTAACTCTAATATAACAATCATTACATACCTTCTTTTGTACGTCCCCCGGTTGTCCCTCCCGGCGGCGGCACCACTCTTCCCCGCCGCCGCCGGCGGCCTCTTCCGGCTCTCGCCGGAGTCTTCCTCGAACGGGCCGGATCCGGCAGACGACTGCTGCTCCCCGTGAGAGAATACAGAGACAGCTTGATGATTCTCATGATCATGATCACCACTACTGCCATTAGCAGCGGTGCTGAGAGCAGAGATTGCGTCAGTGAAGGATCTCGAGATCTTGTGAAGAAGTTCAGTAGTGGTGGGCGAGTAACAGTACTGAAGATCTCCTCCATTTGCGGACTGGTTTTGCAGGAGGAGCTGGAGCTGGGAAGTCAATTCCTGGCCCTGGACGAGCTCTTTGATGATGGTGATCTCCTGCTTCTTCCCGCCCTGTGTGGTGGGATTTTGGCTGAAATAAGAAGTACCCATTGGAGAGCAGGATGTTTGGAGAGATGGCTAGTGGCTGGAAATGGCAAGAGATGAGGAAAGCTTTGTTCTTTTTTTTTACTGGTTTGGGTGTGTGTGGAAAGTGATGAAGTACAGAGGATTTTTTTTTTTGGCTTTTTGGTTATATAGAGAGATTGTTGTGTTTGTGGGGATTTTGGAGGGAGGGAAAGAAAGAGAGGAGTAAAGTGAAGGAAGGGAGGAGGAAGGATCTGTAGAATAAATTGTCCTGTGGGGAGAAGAAATGAAAGAAAATAGGAAGGATAGTTGGAAGGTTCATATTTTTTTAATTTAAAAGAAAAATAAATGAAAAAGGATTGTTTTTGTTTTGGGCACTAATTCATCACTAATCTGGGGTGCTGACGTAAGAAGGTGACGCGAATTTGGGTAGCGTCAGCATGATGCATGGCAGAGAGCGAGAGAGTAATCTCCATCTTCCAATGGCCTAGGCTACTTTCTTGCCACTTCCCTCTTTCTAGAAATAAAAGAATTCCATAAATAATTATATTCCCCCCCCCCCCCCCCCCCCCACCCCCAAAAAAAAATTGTAATTATGTCATTAATTAATCATTAGTCAAATGTAGGCTTCTGGTTCTGATCATGGATATGCGTTATAATTAGGCAATTATTTTGGAGGGGATTCGATCGAAACTTAACCAATAACAATAATTAACAACTAAAGAGGTGATTTGGAGACGTGGGGAGTTTGTTGATTATGGACGATGGGGTTTAATTAACTAGTTTCTTTTGTGATTAGCACTTTTTCTCCATTTATTTAATTTATCATGGTTAACTTTATTTGAATATTATACTGTGGTTCGTTTGGGAATCAACGAGCTATGCTGATCCTGGTCAGACCTCTTATTAAACAAGAACTTCAAACCAAACCTTTTGTTAATTCCTTATTCCAGTTCCCAGCAATATTATTAATGTTATTTGAAGTGATCATGCCTCGTTGATGCTTTTAATTTGCTGTAATTTTGGTGTTTAAATGCGTTGAAGAACATTGTTAATGTAATTAGAATCTCCTTAATGAGACGTTCGATCGAACGAATATTTGTGACATATGGGTAAGAAAATTTGTTTTAATTCTCAATATATATAGGAGCATTATTTTTCCTGAGAGTTTCATGTCTGCTCGAATTTTTTTCTTTTGGAGAGGATCTCAAAACTCATTAATATTATGTTTATGTCATACTCCTAATTAGTCAGGTACCATAACTTATCTGCGCATAAATCCGTACTTTAAACGTTTTGCTAATGTAATAGACCTGCAAAGTTACGATAAATAAGGGCGACACCCTAGCTAAAATGTTTGGTTATATATTTTGCATGTCGAATATATTAGTCATGCCACACTTTCCAAAACAAGTCCCATCTAAATTTATCCAAGATAGGCATAAACATACATGCAAATTAATTTGATTTCTCATGAAAGTAACATAATAAATATGAATGGTCGTTTCTAGGGATGGCATATCAGAACGCGCGGGCCGGTACCCGCCCGAAAACCGGCTGGGCGGACCAGTTTTTACCTGGAGTTGACGGTGATTTAACGGATTCGGGGAAACCCGTTATTCGTGGATAACGGACATCGGGCGGTGACGGAGTCCAGGCTATCTGCCCCGAGCCATAAAAACGACGTCGTATTATGAGCATATATATATCCATCAGTCGAGCAGAGAAACCCTAATCCCTAATTGGAAAATCGCCGCTCTCTCACTCTCTCTTCTCTAGTTCTCTTCTCAGTTCTCTGCTCTCAATCGCCGCTCAAATCCATCGATTCGATTCCCCCCCCCCCCTCGCGAAATTCTCTCCACCCAGGCTGTCAGTCATTCATTATCCACCAATCAAAGCCTAATATCCTCATCTATTTAGGCAAAGAACAACATGCAAAAGGAGAAGAATCAGAAGATGACTGTTCCAATCTCCGATTCGAGGTTATTGGGAGGATTTGTCGTCGATTATTGTTCCGATAATCCAGAACTCGAGATAAGTACCTTCCAATTCAATTCTTCTTTCTTGTTTAAGTTTCTTGCTTTAGTTTTAGGTTCGTTTAAATTAACTCGAGTCGATTGGTTCTTTCTAGGGCTCTTCTGTTTCATCTTCATTTGCACGTGGGACTGCATGCATGCTCTGATACTCGAGGTAATCCCTAATCAAATTTCCTTAGTCAGTTACTCAGTTAGTGTTTAGTAATTAATAGTTTGTTGTATTGACTTTGACTCATTGGATTGTAATGTTTGTACTTTTGTTTGAGTTTTTGCAGTTTTGTATCAGGCATCAGTTCACCATCCACAACTCTGGACAATAGACCCCCTCTTTCCAGATTCGAGGTTAGTTAAAGAATTAAGGACATTTTACTTAATTTGGTTTGCATGTATTAGGAATTAGGGACTCGAGTTTCTGTTGATTGCTTGGGTGTTGGGTCTGCTCATGAATCATGTCTTGTTTAGTATAAGTGTCTCATCTGCATGTTACAATTGAATCTAAAAGACTATAAATTTGAACCTAGAAATCTTATATCTAAAGCCTAAAAAGTAACCAAGCAATCCTTTGATGTTTATACTCGTTTATCTCAATGTCATATGGAAGGTGCACCTGAAAATGTTGTCAATGCTCCTGTTCCTCCACAACCTGCCCCTGTTGATCAAAACAACCAACCTGAACAAGTTGGTAATGGTAACGGTAACTTGGCTAATGAAAATTCTGAAGTGCTTGTTGAAGAATGCAAATTGACTTCTGATGTATGGCCTCATTACATTAGGGTTAAGGTTAATGGGGTTATTAAAGCTAAGTGCAAGTACTGTCGAAAAAACCTTGGTGGTGATACTCGTAATGGAACCTCACACCTTAGGACTCATGTGAAAACCTGTATCCAAAAAAGGATACATGATGGTGCTCAAAAAATTATTTGCCCTAATTACAAAGCAACTGGAAAACCCCAATTATCTGCTACACAGTTCAACTCTGATGTGTCTAGGAAGGAGCTGAGCTCAATGATTTTGGTCCATGAGTACCCTCTTAGCATTGTTGAACACTTGGGTTTCAAGCGTTTCTGTTGTTCTTTGCAACCACAGTTTACTGTGCCTTGTAGAAATACTGTGAAGAAAGATATCTTGTCTTTGTATGGGGTTGAAAGGAGTAACTACCAAAAGGTTATTGATGGTAATTTGTGTAGAATTGCTATGAGCCTGTGACCACTGATTTATGGACTGCCCCAAACCAGAAGAGGGGTTATATGGCAGTCACAGCTCACTTTATTGATAATACTTGGAAGCTAAGAAACTCAATGCTAAAGTTTTTGTATGTCCCTGCCCCTCATACGAGTGAGAGGCTTGCAAGAAAACTGTTTCAATGTCTTCTGAATTGGAACATTGATGGAAAGTTGTATGCAATCACCTTGGACAACTGCTCCACTAATGATTCCATGATTGCTCACCTTAAGAATAAACTTGTTTTGAATAACTTGTTGATGGATGGTAGACTGATTCATATGAGGTGTTCTGCTCATATACTGAACCTTATTGTGAAAGATGGTTTGGATGTGATAAAGGATGGAATCCATTTGATTAGGGAGAGTGTGGTGTATTGGACATCCACACCTAAGAGGGTCCAGACTTTCAATGAAGCTGTTAAACAGCTTAAGTTGGCTATTGGGAAAAAACTTGTGCTTGATTGTCCAACAAGGTGGAATTCTACCTATGATATGCTCTCTATTGCTCTTCTGTACAAAGATGTCTTTTTTCGTTTAAGACAGATGGATAGTCAATACACATCAGCTCCTACTAATGAGCACTGATATTTTGCTGCTATTGTGATTGATAAACTGCTCATTTTCAGTGAGATGACTGCATTATTTTCTGGTACCAAGTACCCCACTGCCAATCTGTTTTTCTCTAAGGTCTGTGATCTACGATTGAAATTGAGTGACTGGTGTGCTGATCTTAATCCCGTTATTTCTGCCATGGCTGGAAATATGTGGTTGAAAGTCAGAAAGTATTGGGATGATATACATCTTGTTCTGGCAGTTTCAGTGGTTCTGGATCCTAGGTACAAAATGCATGTCATTGAGTATTATGCTGCTAAGTTTGGCAGCTCTGATACTTACTTGGTGGCTAAGGATCTATAACAGCTGATTTGTGGTTTGATTAATGATTATCAAACCAAGGCTGAAAAGAAATCTGGTTCTTGATACGCCTAGAAATACACATATTTATTCCCACATTTAAGTATCTAACTGGCTTGTAACACAAAATAAGTTCAGTTGTTTTCCAGTTTTACGTTTGGTTTTGTGTGTTTTGATGTTTCAGGATATTTAGAGACATGTAGGAGAGAAAAGGGTCAACTCGTCTCAAATCAGCATTGAAAATGAGAAATGACTGATCGAAGTTGTAAAAGAATGAAGTACGTATGCATGGAATTGAGTGTGGGCACGAAAGCAAGTTGACCTTTTGAGTTGTTTGTACCCGAGAAAGCAAGCTGCTCAAGAGAAGCAAGTATCCGCCACAAATGAAAGAATGCAAGTAGGCAACTTAATTTAATGGACAAGCAAGCAAGTAATTTTGTCCATGGAATGGTAACGCTCGGGAAGCAAGTAGCTGAATTAAAGGAAGCAAGTAGCTGAATTAAAAGGACAAGCTTGCTTGAGAGAAGTGTCCCTCGACACAAAATTAAAGTAAGGAGATGGCTAATAATTGGTCTCGGCGATGGGTAATGGGAAGCTAGCAGCTGGAGGCGCCACGTCTTCTCAAGCAAGCAACTTGCTCAAGCAAGCAGCTGTTAGGGGCAGCAATTTAAGACAACCAACTGTAAACTTAAAAGGGGGTTCTTGTTCATTTATTTGGACCAGCTAGCTTGCACTATAAATAGCAGCGTACAGAGGCAAATTGAGGGGAGACGGACAATAGAATTCTTGCTCATCTTGTTTCCATTCCATTTCTTCCTTGTCGAAACTCTACCAAATTTTCGTTCTAATATTCGTGTTTCAATCCGAAATCATATGCTTCATACGATAACAGTTCTCATCCTTGAGATTAGCGGTAATACGTTACATTAGTAAATTACCATAAGAAGTTTATTTAACTTCAAGGTGATTTATTGGTATAACGTACTTACTCTATTCTCGTTTCTTCCACTTTGTTTACATTAAGGTTTTGATTATATTTATACTCTTATGCATTTAATTTTCATGCTATTATTATCGTGGGTTAAAT